ACCGCGGAAAAAAAAAAAAAAAAAAATTTAAAAAAAAAAAATCACTCGCGCGACGGCATAATAATATTTTGTTATTAAAATACGCGCGGCGGAACGATAACGATATTATTCACGATAATGCGTAATGAATAAATACGCGGCGGGCATGTATTGTTATTGTCGGACGACTGTGGCTGTGGGCCACGTGCTGGCGGTAATTTACGACTGCGGCGGCGGTCCGCGTTCGGAGGCGAGTGGAACGGTACAGAGTGGACTGACTCGCGGAGCGCCGAACACACCGAAACCCGACAACTTCCGACGCGGGCTGGAGACGGTGCGCGCGCCGTGCGTCCGTGTGCGTTCGGCGGTACGTCGGTGTGCGTCCGTGTGCGCGCGCGTCGGCGTCCGCGGGCCGTCGCGTGTGTGCGCGCGCGCGCGCGTGTGTGTGCGTTCGTGCGCGCGGTTCCGAAAAACCGAAGCCGCGCCGCCGTCGACCAATCGGAACGCCGCGCGGTCGGTCCGCGCTCCGATCCGGCGGTCCTTCGTGCGCCGCCGCCGCCTCCGTCGACTGCCGCGGCGGGCGGCGGCGACGACGCATGAATGAACCGGTGTGCCGCGGCACGGGGCCCGGTGCCGCGGCGCGCGGTGGGGACACCGCCGCGGCCGCCTCCGGACTACCTACGCCGCCGCCGCCGCCGCCGTGCGCCGCGCACTGCAGCCGTGTCCGAGTTGTTGCCGCCGGTCGACCGGCTTAGGCGCCGCGCGTAATATATCGTTTGTTTTTTTTTTTTTATTGTTTTTTTTTTTCCTTCCGCTTTTACCGTACGGGCAAAAAATTCTAATGGTTTAACGCGGTGACGCGCCGAACGTTTACAATCGCCAAACGGAAACGCGTCGCGGTCGCGTTGTCGGCGGTACAGAATTGAAAATGAAAAAAGGCGAGAAGTCGTAGAAGGCCCGTAGGCCGTAGAAGTGAATCCCGATGTACGTCTGTTTCGCGACGATAAACCGTTGTAGCTAACGAGAAACGATTCGGAGCGGAGTTTAACTTATACGCGCGCGTCCGTTTTTCCGGTTTTTCTCCGGAATCGTTACGAAACCGCCCGCTTGGAATATCCGAAGAAAAAAAAAAACCGACGGAAAAGATACGCTTGAAAATCGGATTAAGGTTTACGGTGGAAACGAGTTGTTCTCAGATAACGAACCGTGCATCGGAAAAAGAATAACGTAAAAATTATAATTGTACACACGATAATTCGTCCGATTAAATTTAACTGCGTTCCATCGACATTTACACTCATGTTAATCTAGTTGTACTGTGAATAGCCATAACTGAATTTGTTGTTTTATTATTATTATTATTGTTATTGCTGCTGCGTTATGCCCGCGCGTCAATAAACTTCATAACAAGTTATAGTTCGTTCGCGTTTTGTTTTGTTGTGATTTTTATATCTATGTGTGTAACGTAACACGTCCATCCTCACTGACCGACCGACTGGTGTTACGGATGATAATTCGGTTGCCACGGAAATCAAAAACTATTATATATAGTATTGTTAATATTGTTTACACTGTTAAAATTTCACAATAGAACACATTTGGTAATCCGCCGACGGTGGGCCATCCACTTTTCACCTATTTGTTTTCATTCAATTTTGACACGGCCAAAACCAAACATGGATATGGGTAAAATAATAATAAAAAAATTGGCACGGGCAACGCCGGGCGCGGGACAGCTAGTCAATTATAATATTGTGTTTCACTGATATTCGCGTTTTCATTAACGGTCCATTCGGTGACGGGCACTCTCGTGTCATAAAAGCCCGCACGTGAAAAATACGGCCGTGCGCTTATGACGTCTCTAAAGAAAAAATACATCCGAGTATAAGATTTATCAGCACGAGCGTTTTTCGCGGATTATTATAAAACGATTGATTTTTTGGTAAAATTTATATCGTTTTCGCAAAAATATTTAACGAAATAACGTGAGATTTCGACGGAGAACGTTAAAATGAAATCGCAAATTTTCGCATTCGTAAGTGTATCAATAATAAAACGTCGCATTTCAAATCAATTGTACGGGTAACGGGACGTCAGCCCACCGAATGGTATTTTTTTCTCTCTCTCCCTGACACTCTCTGTCCGCGGTATAGCGAATTTGCGTTTAGTCTCAGTATTACAGTGAACCGACCTATTATCGGATTTCGGGTCAAGAACATTATCCGCGTTTGCACGCGTCGGTTTTTTTACGGTACGTCAATTTGCACGCCATTCGTCGTTTTCCATGTCAATTGTTACAATATTTAAAAACGATCGTATCTCATATATTAATTGAAATGTCGTCAAACAGCCCACGCGGACTATATGTTCTTGACTTAACGTTTGATAACAGACCGATTCGCTGTGATACTCAGGCCGACCGTACAAGTTCGGTTCCGCCGAACGCAAATTAGCGTGGATTGTTGCGCGTGAGGGAGGGAAAAAATATTGCGCTGACGTCCTTTTAAACGTGTGAAGCGAGAGAGCTATATTGGTTTTTACTAAGATGTTTTTTTCCTTTCTCTGTTCTAGCCTGTGGACACGTTTTTTCCTCTTAAACTTGCGCTGATTAGCACCTTTTCTAAAAGCTCAAGTTGTCTAGATTGTACTTTAAAAAGGCCATTTTCTTAAATAAATGCATTTAAGTGGGAAAGAGCATAGGAAAACGTATAATTTAACGATTTCATTATTTTATAAAAACACGGACGACATTTCTACCAGAAAAAATGATTTAATCGAAAAATAACAAGATACCTTATTTGTTGCCTTATTGATTTAATTTCTTACGGTATTATCTTCAAACATTTTGAGCCACTTTTGAGCTTTTAAGGAATTTTAATTTTTCTAATTTTTTTTTTGCTGTAATTCGGTTATAAATACACATAGAGACTTAAAACTCGGTAATAATATTTATATTTGACTTGCCCAGACGTCATAAAATTTCCATAATGATCGGACGATTTTTTTGTTTTTAATAAGCGTTTTGAAATCAAATTTAAAAGAAAATTGCAAAAAAAAAAATTACGGCAATTCAATTTATGTATTACCGAACTGCTCTCGGAATCGTCTTTCGTCAAGCAATGGTTTATCGTTGCTTACAGATATAAATGAAATAATCCTATGTATCCTACCTTCCCAACTTCTCATCTACAACAGCGGCCGCTCCCATTTCCAGTATCATCTCTTTTTTTTTTTTTATAGTTTACACCGTCTAACACGGTCGACATTTAAACGTATTATGATAAATCGCTGAGTTTATTCCAGTGACAGTCAGAACCGAGCACTGTAATTAATATTGCGTTGCAATAATAGTCGTGTTTTAAAATGCAAATTCGATTTTAACCTACTTATATAAAACTGTTCGACTGTCATTTTACCAGAACTTTTTTCAGTACTCGCCGTTATCTTCGATTTTAATCCGTAGTTCGTCAGCAGTCACAAATATTACCATCTCGACAGTAAATATTATAATCGCTGCAATATAAACGGCACACTTATTCTATACCAAATAAATATTATAAAAAAAAACCATTTCGTAATTTTATTTTCATCGATTATGTAGATATAAAATAACATGTCCTGACCGACTGGCCGACTGATTCATCATCGCACAGCCCAAACCACTGAACGGATCGGTCGGAAATTTGGCATAAATACAATGACGTAGACATTCGCTAAGAAAAGATTTTTGAACATTCAACAACCCCTAAGTGGGTAAAATAAGGGGTTTTAGGTATTTTTGGTACGAGTATTTAATTGTTTATTTAATTATTTTTGTTTATCCAAGAATTACCGTGGTAATATTGATGATAATTTGGTTATTGTCATGGGCAAGAAAATTATTATTAATATTAATAAACGATAATAGAATACATTTTATTCTATTGTCGTTTACTTTATTATAGCAGAGCATTGCCGGGTCAGCTAGTAAAGATAAATAAGCAGTTATATATTGATTTAAATCGAATACAAGAATATGTTTATTTTTTTTTTTTTTAATTGTCTGTAGTATTTTAGTTTTGATAAAAGGACGGACATTCTTCGCACATGGATGTAGCTCTATTGTATGTCGGAAGTTGGGAAGGTAAGATTGTAAGATACAGACGGAAATTTAATGTAAGCAACGATAAACCATAGTTAACGAAAAAACGATTCTGAGCGGGGTTAAGTTAATAGTGTTGCTTTGTTAATAATATATGTGTCACATTAAGGTAAAATGATTACGTTTCCATTATAATAATGATTTAAAGTAATAAAATTTCAATAATAACAAAAACTAAATAAAAACGGTTACTGATGACAACATTATTTTAATTATTTTTTTTTTAATCGTTCAATCTTTTTTTAACCTAAAGAACCAGGTTTTCCTCATTATCTCGAATATTAATAAAAATAATAAGAAAAATAACCTGTTTAAAATACCACCCAGAGAACATTTCCTTTCAAAAAAGGTGCTATACTTGATGATCGGAGTAAGCTTTCTGGTAGAAAGTGTTAACATAAAAAAAATAAAATAAAATAAACATCTTTGTAAAACTAATACATTCTTCGCTAAACTCAGAATCTATAAAAAAAAAAAACAAATTTTTGACTATAAAATATTATGCTAATTAGGTTTTCGCGTTAAATTGTATAAGAAAAACGTTAGCGCAGTTTGTCAAAAAAAAAATATCAGTTAGGAAAAAAACATGTATTATACACAGAGTGTATTTGCAGGACTTGACAATTACCTACGGTCGAGTCGATTGCGCATATTATGGAACTGTGTATACAAATGTGCAGGTATAGTTTTTTTTGGTACATAAAAATTATTACACGCCTAATCGAATGTAATTTTAATACCGGGTATGGGGGGGGGGGAAACGCTTGTAAAACTGCGTGTGCAAAATATCGGATATTGTATTTTTTACGAGTGGTATTCTACTAAATATTATGTTACGCAATAATGTTCTATTTTGTTCACACTGTGTAAATAATGATAATTGTAGAGAAATATGATATTTTTGATTTCGAAACAAATTCGGATTCGCGATATTATGCTCGTACATATTACGATGACAATAATGTTACCGATTCCGATTTTGTTTTCAAACACAGACTGCGCGGAACTCGGTTATATTATAGACGGCCAATCGGAATGCCGCTGTAACTTTCCAATTCAATTCTATCGGCCGTATGCGCTGCTGCCGCAGCATCATAATGTTATAAATTATCTCTTCATTCTTTTAATATATTATTCTATACACAAGAGCGTATGTTCCTGTATTGTACCTTTTGTGCCTACACTTCTGTATATACAACGCATAATAATAAACGACCGTTCGT